TTCCCTACAGTTTATTCACCAGGGAGATTTAGGCCAGACATTGGAAAAAACTTGCCAATGGTAAGGATAGAAAGGCATGAGAACAGATTGTGTAGGGAGATGGCAGCAGCTCCCACGCAGGAGACTTTTAAGAACAGATTACAGTAACTGCTAAATGACTTAAGTAGAGTAGTTCCTGCCTTGTAGTGGGTGGATTTGTCTCTCCTAACTCTGTTTTCCATGGCTATATAGGTGAATCAGCTTAAATGAAATTATGAAGGATCTAGACTTCGACCTAAACCCCAAATAAATTGCTTCAGATACTTGGAATGGTTCTGTCAAGTTTTCTTCAATTATATGTCACTTTCTCACATTGCTCTGTTCCTGCCTTCAGTCAGAACCAGCAGAGAAATAGATGGAATACCATGATACCGTGAGGTTAGGAAGGTCTGGTCTACAGGGAAATGCAGTAGGACTCATCGACAATTCTTAGAAGCTTTCCAGTTTAGTCTTGGCGATACGAAGTATGTAAGTATGTTGACTGCAGTGTAGAGAAGCTTTCAAATTTCTGTCCCCTAAATGACTTTCTTCATTTTGGTAGATTTATAGGAGAGGTAGATAAAGGGCCCAACAAGGATTTGGGCCAAACATTGTGAAACCGATGTTATCTTGCTACACCTGAAACACTTGGCCCAATCTTCAAGGCACTTGTTGCACAAGCTGTTGTAATCACAACTCCCTTTTTTAGGTACTCAGGTTCCCGTGCAAGCCTCCCTGCAGTGAGCTATGTCGTTGGGAAAGGGAGTCTAAGAAACCAACTGAGCAGGAACCTGCCTCAGCCAACCAGGAAAGAAATTCAGAGGTAAAAGATGGACAAAATGGTAAAAGGTAAAAGATGTGGATATGTAAGTGGCTATGGGGAGGGACGCACTGTACAAGCCATGTTCTCTTTCCCAGAGTTACAGTCTCTGCTTGTTTTTCTGCTTGAAATGAGAGAGAAAACCACCCCTCATTTTACACTTTCCCTTCTCCATTAGTCAGTGATTAATGGTGAGAACTCTGGCTAAGGAAAACCCATTTGAGTATATGTTCTGCCTGGGTCAGAATTCAGTCCATGTGCTCCATTTTCTAGAGGCAAGGCTTAGCAAGAGGATCCAGGACATCCTGGGAAGATGATTCTCTTGCTCTTCTCTGTAAAACTGTTCAGTAATGTATAAATGATTAAATATTTGTTTACAAAGCCAGCTGTTTTTCTAGCCCAGATGTTGGTACCAGTTTGTGAGAAATAAAGATTAAAGTCGCAGCACCAACGCAGGCAAAAAAGAATGGTGTTTCCACTGGATGTCTCACATCCAGCTGAGCACTCAAACCGGTAGGCTTGTTCAAACCAGCAGGTAATCTTTTCAGGGGAACATTTATTTTAGGCAGGCTTATGACACACAGGAGGGATAAACCTACCTGGCCAGTGGATTTGAGGTTTCCACATGGGGACCTGTGGTCTGACCTGAAGCTCTGTGCACCTCATTAGCTTTGAGGTGAGCTCAGCACATAGGCAGCTGCCTGTACTCCAGCTTCACCACGCTCAGCAATGGGAATGGGGTTAAATGGCAGATGGGTATTGGTTTAGAGGAAGTCAGAGAAACCTCCCAGGTGGATTTATGGATCTCAACTGCATCTAACCAATTCGTGGAAAGTGTATTTAATTCATATGGATATTACCTTGCCAAGCTGTGACTGAAGCAAATTCTGGCAGTTGCTCACATTGATAACGACTGCTGAATATACATTTATGGAGCAGCACGACATGAATTCAGCAGGCCTCTCTGGATGCTGTAGAATGGTTCAGTTGCCTTGGTGAACATCTGTAGGTTACCATTGCCTTTTAAAAGACTTGAGATGGTAAAGAAATGGATGACACGCCTACAGATATGCACAGAGCTGGGCCAGAATGACTTGCCATTAAATGATGTCCATCACAGGACAGAGTTCATTCAGACTTCATCCGATACCCATTCTCTGACCTTTTAACTCTCAGAGGTCAAGCAAAGCTACTGCTTAATGGAGTCAGTGCAGTCTGATGAACATAGCAGAGGGCAGAGTTGAGACAGGTGGAATTTGGAATTTGGCTACAGATCAAGCACTATGAGATGACACATGAGCTAGGCCAATCAAATTCTGACCAAGTGCATTGCCAGACTGCAAAATAGGCAGTCCTGCTGCTAACTGAAGCCAAATTCAAGCCATTATTTGGCATCAGCAGGAGTATTAATTGACCCACTTACCATCTTATTTAGGGTGAGAAAAATGGACTTTAAACCGGAAATAGCTAAGAAACAGTCAATGTTTTTGATGAAGGCCTCAGTTCATTAGCATGAAATTTTCCTTTCAATTCTGCTCTATTCTTTTCTAAACTATTATTAAATGAACCTTTGATTATACAGATAAGTCCACTGGTGTGATCAAATGACTAAGCGTTTGCCAGTAGAACTCATAGCATAGCAAATTCCTTATGAAAAGATTAAGCACTTTCTTTTTTTCTCCATTTACTTATGTACTGACCAAAAGTCCTCAGGGGGATGATTCATATCCCAGTGATGTATTGAGGTTTGGTTACCACTGTGAAAGAGTGCAGGGGATGCAGAGACCTGCAGAGGAATATTCTTTCCCCCTTCTTTCGATTCTGGCAAATAAAAGGGGCTAGAAGCGTTATCAAAGGGGAACATAGCTAGCTCCTGTCTCCAGTGTCTGCTGGCTGCAACATGTAGTGCTGTCAAGTCAGAGACTAGCAGGTTCCCTTTCAAAGGACAGGCTGCCCGTACTGCAACATTGGGCCACAAGCCATCAGGTCTACCCTGTCTGCTCTGCCGGTACCAGGCTCCTGGGAAGGCAGGCTGGGTGCTGGGTTGCTGCTGCCCCCATTAGCTATGCAGGACAGCCAGTGCTACCAGTACAGATGTTCCCTCCAGAAACAGCTCTTGCTGGTCTTAGCCCTTCATGCCCCAGCGGTGCGGTTCCAAAGCTTTTCCTTCAGCTCTGCCCCTTTTCCTTCCTTTGGCAGGAAAATCATTGGGACAGCAAAAAACAGTTTTGCTTAATCCTGCTGAGAAGCCTTAAAGTAGCCCTGCAGTTTGTTGTGACGAGTTTGTTTTGTTGTGCTCACTAGCAGCCAGTTAACACCATCTGCAAAGAGGCTGTCAGAATGGGGCAATCCTTTGCCCTTGAGTCAACGCAGAGGTATGGTGTTACAGTGGCCAGGGTGTAACACGGATATGGGGGTGTCTCTACTTGTCAAGCAGCCAGGCTGTGTCTCAGTGAAGACATAAGTGAGCATAGTCCACCAGAAGACAGGTAGCTGTGGTTAGAAAATGCTGTGCTAGATTAATAAGCCCTGCTGTGATGCAAGGGTATATTTACTCTGGAAGGAAGCCATGCTGCTGCATAGTCATTGCTTCTGGCCAGGTCAGAGTGGGAGTCAAATGAAATTATGAAGGACTATGTAAAGACACCTGTAGTTTTATAGTATTCCCAAAGCTAGGAGTGTAACTCACTTTTTGTCCAGCCTGTGTGTCTGAAAACGAAGGAGAAAGGTCTGGCAGGCTTGGAAGATTGTGGAAATAAGACCCCATTTACCACAGGCATCCTGGTTATGTAGTCATTTCCCTCAGCAGGGATGGTAGCACAGATGCTGTGATGTAGGAGAAAGTCACACCACAATGTGTGGGACAATGCTGGAGGCTGAACTCATTAGCGTCTCACTTGACTGATTGGTGCTTTAGGTACTGGAACAAGCACAGTTCAATCCCTATAGCTCTATTCAGTACTGCATGCACGTAGCTGTCTAGAGCCATCATTATGTCTTAACTAGCAAGTCAAAGTCTAGTCACACAATATATTTTTCACACACAGAAGGCACATTACCTTTAAGCTGCCAATCACGCCACCCACCAACAGATATAATGGAATTAGTGGCTGAACGGGGCAATCTTCCAAAAACTTCATTCCTGAACAGCAAAAATTAATGTTTGTTATCTCAAGTGATCAAATAGTGCAACAAGCTGTACAGTGAAAACTAAAGATACTGTAAGTGAAGACTGGTATCCAGCGTCTGTTGAAATGGGGTCTGAATTAAGGGGGGAGATGTAAAACATCTCCCACTACAGGAGTGAGGGCCATGAACAAGCAAAAGGCAGGAGAAGGAAGAGAGAGAGCAAAGGTAACAGCAGCATTACTGTTGTTCTGGCGTTACTGACCAGAGCTGTGTACACAGGTCATTAGCTGCAGCCACTGCATCTTTGTTAAACGAACGACTGAATGAGCTAGATGGGAAATTTTCATCAGCAGTAGAAAATTCATTGAAAATCAAAACTGTTTGTGAAAAGAAGGAATTCTGATAAGCTTCTCCCAGGCCTTTCCTGCTCATTAGCTCTCCTGAGTGTGGCATGTTCCCAAGTTAGATGCTTCGAAGCTTGGGACCCAGCACCCAAGGGAGTGGCTGGAACCATTTTCTCTTCCCAGGCAACTGGTAGGGAACCACAGAAGCTCAAGTTTCCAGGCTGTTTAGGCTGCTGGAGGCTAAAAGCATTGGTTGTTAAGGAGCCAAGGATCCTGGCAACCCTCAAATCTACTGCTAGAAAGAGAAAGCTGGGTAAGTTTTAGGGAAGGGAGTGTATGGCAGTATAAGGATGTTGCTGGCAGTAGACACTGAAGCTTGTGATACAGGTCTGTGGCAGAGAGACTCATCTGTCCAAATATAGATGTCTGCAATGCAGGCATCCATATCTGAACT